CTGTTGTCTTAGAATGGGTTCATGTATATAGTTATGATTTTCCGATAATAAAACATATAAAGTGGTAGTGTCAAATTAGCTATGGTCAATTATATATTGAATTCGAAAAATCTCATCTCAAAATAGCAGTATAATAACGACAAATTGAAATTCTCTTCCAATCGAATTTAATATCAGATAATAAAACGTAGAAATTTTATTTCATATTTTTTACGATCATTAATCATTTGCGGGAAGCAAATAGTTCAATAAATTCTTCTGTGTATTCAACAGTAGGGACCTGCGGAGTCAAGTTTTTTGATTCCGAAACCCGACTCCGACTCCGGAAAGTTTCTTCTACACAACTCCGACTCCGACTCCGATTCCGAGAATTCTTATTTTCTGACTCCGATTCCAACTCCGAAAAACTCCGAAAAACTCCGAAATTTTTTTATTGAAAACGAGCGACCTCTAATATATTTTAGTGCTTAATTTTGATCATGCGCAAATGGATGAAAATCGTAGAATTATTAAAACAATGAATTTTATTTTTTTCACTTATTGTATATAGAAAAGAAAAGAGAATGAGTGCCAAGTTCTTGACAAGAAAAGAACTTGAAAAACTAATAGATGAAAATGATGAATCTGTTAGATTTGTACAAAAGAAAAAAACTATGAATTCCAGTCAATTGTGGGAACATTTTCATCAAATTTTCGTAAATAATTCACAACAACAATTTGTATCATGTAATGAATGTAAAACATTATTGGCATTTACATCGACAAATGGCACTAATAACTTGAAAAGTCATTTAAATTCTTGTTCAAGAACAAAAGCACAATTAGATGATTCTAATCAAACAACAGTACATGAATTTTATTCATCGACAAAAAAAACAAAAATTTCAAAGAAAATTAAATTATCTGTAGCACAAGCATGTACTGAATTTTCAGCACTAGATGCCAGAGCGTTTGATACAATGAAAGGATATGGTTTTCAAAATTTAGCACAAGTCTTATTTGATGCTGGTCGTTCATTTGCAAATTCATCAATACAAGTACAAGATATTCTGCCACATCCTACGACCGTAAGAAAGATGATATTTTAAACAAACTTTGCGATTATTATTAATCTTACTTTTTTATAATTTTAGATCAGTAGGAATGTTGGGAGAATTTATGAACAATCAAAAGCACAACTAATTAAAATATGTGAAAAATTAAAAAGTTTTTGTATAGTGGTAGATAGTTGGACAGAAAAGTTCACGGGTAAGAATGCTAACCATTAAATCTATTCATGTTGAACTAGTCAAATCTTTTTTTGTCTTTTTTAGGTATAAATTATTGTGGTATTGCATTACGATTTATCGATGATAATCATAGATTATTATCCTTTATTCTTGGGTGCTATGCTTATGATGCACCCAGTCATTCAGCTATGCATTTTCGTGCTTTTGTTGATAGTAAATTAAAAGAATATAATTTACAACTTGATTCATCTAAATTTGTTGTTTGTGATAATGAAGTTAAAATGTTAGCTGCTTTTCGTGATAATTGTACAAGAATAGGTTGTTCCGATCATTATCTTAACAAACAATTGCAGCACGCGTTCGAATCAACTGAAATTCATACAAATAAAAATACAATTGAGAAGGTTAATTGTGCAACAGGTCAAAATGTTTTCTTTCAAGTGAAAAAAATTGTTACTCATGTTAGACGATCACATCGGCAACAACATTTGTCAATGAAATTACAAATTTATAGTGAAACCAGATTCAATGGTGCTATGTCAATGCTTGATATCTTTCGAAATGTGTTTTACGAATTGCCAATGGTATTAACGAATACAAAATTTATGGACAATTACAATTTAATTGATAAACAAGCACTTGATGATATATGTCATTTTCTTCAACCATTTGAAGAAGTTATTGAAGCCCTTAGTGAAGATCAACGACCTAGTTTACATCGAGTAATACCATTGCGACAATGTTTAATTATTAAATGCGAAATTACCGAAGAAGATTCAATAGCAACAGCTGAATTAAAATTATTTTTAGGTGAGAAAAATCAGGCTAAGTGCTTTCACATTGTTGCACTTGATGAAAAGTTTACTCAGTACATGTGCTTTTTTTTTTATTTTTACACTTATGCTTTTGAATTTTAGCTCATCGAATGAAAGCTGTTTGGCTTATTACAAATGAACATCGACTAGCAACAATTCTTCATCCAAAATTAAAGAATTTTGACAGCTGCTATGATGAGAAAGAACGTGCAATTTCTGCATTAAAATTAGCATTTGACAAATATCAATTGAATAATTCATCATCTGCTTGTGTATTAGGTTCTAATCAAGTTATTTCATCCATTGCTTCAAATACTGATACAAATATTGTATCATTAAAAGGTAAAAAACTCTTAACTCAATGTTTTGATGCAATGATCAATTCTAATATTAAAACACCAAAATCACATCAAGAAATTGAAGATTATTTAAATTCTGAATTTTCATATAATTATAATGAAAATGAATGTGAAGATGGTGATATTGATATTTTATCGTACTGGAGGGACAAACAAAATCAATTTCCAGTGTTATCAGCTTTAGCTAAAGAAATTCATGCTATTCCCGCATCCAACACCATTATTGAAAGATTATTTTCAGCTTCAAAATCTACGGTTACTGAAAAACGAACGAATTTGGCTTCAGAAAAACTGAATCAGCTGCTATTTTTACAAAAAAATCTCACTTTATTAAAACAACTCTCTCAAGAAAATAAAAGAAAAAGAACCATTTCCATGTCATCAACAAATACAATGTTATCTGAAGATTCGACATGTACTATGCCAAAACTATCAAGAATTGATGATGATAACAATTATAGTAGTTCGGATGACATTGAAATACTTTTTGATTAATTTTATTATGTTTCCATATAGGTGGCAATTCGAATGTTATAATTGAAAAATGATCTATTTATTTTTTTTTTGTCTTAAAACTCATTCTTAATTTATGTAATAAGTGTTGTCTTTTGTTCTTTTGATTATCAATATGAAAAATTAAGTTATTGATTTATGAAACAGCAAAAATTAGTCATTGATGGTTATAATTTCTATTTCTATTTGACTCCGAAAAATTTTTCAGTAAACCCGACTCCGACTCCGACTCCGAAAATTTATGTTTTGTTGACTCCGACTCCGACTCCGACTCCGTCGGAGTCGGAGTCATAATCGGGTTTCGGAGTCCTCCGCAGGTCTCTATTCAACAGCATAAAAAACATTATTTTTAGTATTAGTATTTTATTT